GAACCCCTGAAGAGGAAGTCTGAATCCCTGAATCTGAAGAGGAACTGCAGGGAGCAGAACAGACACTGAGCAGGGAAGGGACAAGGAGACAAGGAAGCAGAGGGTCAGACCAGGCGAGGTTAGGAGGAGCCAGCCACAGTGCCCCACAGAGCAAGCCTCCACACCTGTGGACACCACGAAAGGGACAGAAGAGGGAGCTCTGTGATATTAGGAAGCTTAACTAGAGCTCACTTCACTCTACCAGTCCAGAAAAATTAATTTCACATAAAAAAGAGCAACAGAAAAGTAACTGAGGTCAAATTCTATACAAAGTTACTGTAGGAGAAAAGATAAGGAGAATAACAGGCCTATGGACAAAAGATTCTTGACAGTCTCTTGGAAAGCAAGGAGATGAAACCAGTCAATCCTAAAGGAAATCAACCCTGAATATTCATTGAAAGGACTGATACTGAAGCTGAGGCTCCAATACTTTGGCCATCTGATGCAAAGAGCTGACTTACTGGAAAAGACCTTGATGCTGGGAAAGATTGAAGGCAGGAGGACAAGGGGATGACAGAGGAAGAGATGGTTGAACGGTATTATCAACTCAATGGATGTGAGTTTGAGCAACTCCAGGACATGGTGATGGACAGGGAAGCCTGGAGTTATGTGGGCCATGGTGTCACAGAGTCTGTGACAGAGCAACTGAACACCAACAATGGACAAAAAAATTATTCCAGAAAGATATGCCACAAAACAGGAGGGAGAAGAAAAACAAACAAGAAAACCACCAACCAACCCTATAACCTATCTCAAAATGAGCTAAAAGACAAAAAAAAATCCACAGCCAGGTATATCATATTAAATCTTCAAGAAATAAGACAAACACTGAATCTTCAAGAGAGTAACAGCATGCAAATGCAAGTCATGAGACAATGGAGTATCTTCAAAGAACTGGGGAGAAAACTGGTAGCGCAGAGTTCCTATACCCAGTGAGAGATATCTCAAAGAGATATTTCAAAAATGAAAGCGAAGTAAAAACATTTTTAGACAAAATCTGAGAGGATTCATCACAAGCAGGTCTACTTTTTGATCCCTGGTCAGGGAAACTGAAATCCCACATGCTGCATGATGCAGCCAAAAGAAAAAAATATTGTTCTGAAGATTTTTAAATATAAACTGAATTAAAATACCTTACAGTAGGGCACATAAATGGGGACAGCGACAGGCAGAATTAAAGTGATCAAAGGAATCTACCTTGTTTGGGGAGAGGGTAAAAAAACCAATTAACATTAGACCCCAAAAAGTTAAAACAAATATGTTAGGGCAGACAGTAAAAGAAGCATAAAAGAGTATATAACTTCCAAGCTAACACAGGGAAGATAAATAAAATATTCAACTGAGTTAAAAAAAAAAGAAAGAACGAAAAACAAAAGACTTCCTGTGTAACCCTGATTAGTTCTCCCAGTGGCAACAAGACAGACAGACACACCAAAAAAGATTTTCTTGAAGGTTAAGAACTCCCCAGGCAGTAAAGGGCAGGGCAAGGTCAAGCAAGGAGGAGAAGGAGAGGTGGACTGTGCCTCATCCCCAAGGCTGGGAGGAGCTGGGGCCACGCCGGGAGCTACGCTGGTAAGGACCCAGGGAGAAGATGGGAACAGCACGGCCCTCCCACCAGGTACACAGAGAACAAGGTGTCAGAGAACACAGGCAAAAGCTGAATTTGTTCGCGAGGCTCTGAACCAAGAGCCCTTGATGTTCCAGACTAGGAAAGCTACCGTCAGGAGGAGGAGGAGGAGGTGCAGCAAGGGGAGGGGGAGGGGGAGCACCCGTAACGTTCCAGCTTCTAGAAACACATCAGAGAGCGGGAGAGGCCAGAGACCTCTTCAGAAAACGAGCCTAGAGACTGAAGGGAGCATTTCACGCAAAGATGGGCACAATGAAGGACAGAAACACCATGGACCGAACAGAAACAGAAGAGATTAAGAAGAGGTGGCCAGAATACACATAACAACTGTACAAAAAAAGGTCTCAATGACCTGGATAACCAGAATGGTGTGGTCACTCACCTAGAGCCAGACATTCTGGAGTGCGAAGTCAAGTGGGTCTTAGGAAGCATTACTATGAACAAAGCTAGTGGAGGTGATGGAATTCCAGTTGAGCTATTTCAAATCCTAAAAGACGATGCTATTAAAGTGCTACACTCAATATGCCAGCAAATTTGGAAAACTCAGCAATGGCCACAGGACTGGAAAAGGTCAGTTTTTATTCCAATCCCAAATGCCAAAGAACTACTGTACAATTGCACTAATTTCACTCACTAGCAAGGTAATGCTCAAAATCCTTCAAGCTAGGATTCAACAGTAGACTTCATTTCACTGAAGTAAGCAACAGTTCACTTCACAGTGAACCAAGAACCTCTAGATGTACAAGCTGGATTTAGAAAGGCAGAGGAATCAGAGATCAACTTGCCAACATCTGATGGGTCATAGAAAAAGCAAGAGAATACCAGAAAAACACCTACTTCATTGACTATGCTAAAGCCTTTGACTGTGTGGATCACAACAAACTGTTGAAGATTCTTAAAGAGATGGGAATACCAGACCACCTTACCTCCCCCGCTGAGAAACCTTCATGTGGGTCAAGAAGTAACAGTTAGAACCCTACATGGAACAACTGACTGGTTATCAAATGCAAATCAAAACCACAATGAGCTACCATCTCACGCCAGTCAGAATGGCTGCCATCAAAAAGTCTACAAACAATAAATGCTGGAGATGGTGTGGAGAAAAGGGAACCCTCTTTACACCGTTGGTGGGAATGAAAACTAGTACAGCCACTATGGAGAACAGTGTGGATACTCCTTAAAAAACTGGAAACAGAACTGCCATACGACCCAGCAATCCCACTGCTGGGCATACACACTGAGGAAACCAGAATTGAGAGAAACACATGTACCCCAATGTTCACTGCAGCACTGTTTACAATAGCCAGGACATGGAAGCAACCTAGATGTCCATCAGCAGATGAAGGGGTAAGAAAGTTGTGGTACACATACACAATGGAATATTACTCAACTACAAAAAAGAATGCATTTGAGTCAGTTCTAATGAGGTGGATGAAATTGGAGCCTGTTATACAGAGTGAAGTCAGAAAGAAAAACATCAATATAGTATATTAACGCATATATATGGAATTTAGAAAAATGGTAACGACAACCCTATATGCAAGACAGCAAAAGAGACACAGATGTAAAAACAGACATTTGGACTCTGTGGGAGAAGGCAAGAGTGGGATGATTTGAGAGAATAGCACTGAAACATGTATATTCCCACAGGTGAAATAGATGACCAGTCCAAGTTCAATGCAGGACGCAGGGCACTCAAAGCTGGTGTGCTGGGACAACCCAGAGGGATGGGGTGGGGAGAGCAGTGGGAGCGGGGTTCGGGACAGGGGGACACATGTACACCCGTGGGTGATTCACATCAATGGACAGCAAAAACCACTGCAATATTGTAAAGCAATTAGCCTCCAATTAAAATAAACAGCTTTTTTTTAACTCTAAAAACAAAAAAGCTGGGAAAGGAGTACAACAAGGCTGTATACTGTCACCCTGCTTATTTAATTTATATGCAGAGTACATCAAGTGAAACAGATGTACTCTGATGAATCACAAGCTGAAATCAAGATGGCTGGGAGAAATATCAAGAACCTCAGATATGCAGATGATACCACTCTAATGGCAGAAATCAAAGAGGAACTAAAGAGCCTCTTGATTAAAGTGAAAAAGGAGAATGAAAAAGCTGTCTTAAAATTCAACATTCAAAAAACGAAGATTATAGCATCCGGTCCCATCACTTCAGGGCAAATAAATGGAGAAAAAATGGAAACAGTGGCAGACTTCATTTTCTTGGGTTCCAAAATCACTGCGGATGGTGACTGCAGCCATGAAATTAAAAGACACCTGGCTCCTTGGAAAAAAAGCTTTGACAAACCTAGACAGCATATTAAAAAGCAGAGACATCACTTTGCCAAAAAGTTCTGTCTTGTCAAAGCTATGGTTTTTCCAGTAGTCATGTACGGATGTGAGAGTCAGACCATAAAGAAGGCTGAGTGCCAAAGAATTGATGCTTTTGAACTGTGGTGAAGACTCCTGAGAGTCCCTTGAACAGCAAGGAGATCAAACCAGTCAATCCTAAAGGAAATCAACCCTGAATGTTCACTGGAAGGAGTCATGTGGAAGCTGAAGCTCCAACACTTTGGCCACCTGATGCAAAGAGCTGACTCATTAGAAAAGACCCTGATGCTGGGAAAGACTGAAGGCAGGAGAAGGGGGTGACAGAGGACAAGATGCAATGGATGGCATCACCGACACAACAGGCATGAGTTTGAGCAAACTCTGGGGGACAGTGAAGGACAGGGAAGCCTGGTGCAGTCCATGGGGTCGAAAAGAGGTGGACATGCTTTAGCAACAGAACAACAACAACAACATTCTCAATGGTTCTCAGCTCTCCGAGACATTTCCTACACCGGCCCCTCCTGCGGTGTCCTGACCCCAGTGCCTCCCCCATGTGCTCCACTCTGGGCACTGCAGCCACAGTGACCTTCACCAACACCCACAGCAGTAGGCGGCAGCCTAGACAAACTGAAGCTGTGGGACTTCACTTGACTACATTTCACGCCCCGTGCCAGCGTCAACTTTTTCCTAGGTTCTGCTCCAGACCAAGTCAATCTGTTAGTCTCAACAGGGACCTGAAAGAGCTCATTTGCTTCTCCTGGGCATATACTTCTTCCCCCAGAGAGTCTTAGCTGTCCTAATTTACTTATGATTCCTTTATCACGTTCATTCAGTCAGACTAATAAGTGTTAAGTTACCATTATATTATCCTCCCCTCCTGGTGGCTGGGGAGGAGCAGAGGAGGAATGCAACACACACCACGATGAAGGTTACACATGGGCTTCATACAAAACAGAAACCTAGGATGAAACTCGGGAAGTCTGGTGTTCTGAGCTAATACTACCTGGCTTTAGAGGGAAATACTCTTCCAAAAGTCATTCGAATCCACAAATACAAGTACTTTCTGGCCACGCATCTGAAAGAAGGAGAGAAAGGACATACACATTTAAGAACTCCATCTGGTTTGTATCATCAATTTTCTGGAATAGAGACGGAAACTTAATGGTCTCAGGGGGTGGGATGCTAGTGTGAGTCGAAGGTGAATCATAGACAAATCCTGCATCACCCAGAAAAAAGGGGAATTTGCTGTATGATGCAGGAAGCTCAGCCTGGGGCTCTGTGACAACCTAGAGGGGTGGGACGGGATGGGATGGGAGGTTGTAGGGAAGTTCAAGAGGGAGGTGATATATGGACACCTGTGGCTGATTCATGTTGATATATGGTAGAAATGAACACAATACTGTAAAGCCAATTATCCTGCAATAAATATAAATTTAAAAAAAAACAGCACAAGATGAGACAGATTTAAAAAGCTAAAATTGAGCAGACTATTTTTTTAAAAATACTACTAATAGAAATACACTGTTCATAAAGACTTCAGAATTGAAGAACAGGAAGTATACGCTAATGCTTTTGTTCACATTCTTCCTGCGTCAAACTCCTGGCAAAGGCCTGGCAAATGGCCACTTACCCAACAAAGTTCACCTTCAATGCTCACTCCTGTGTGAAGCTTTCCCGGGCTCTCCCCAACCAAACAGAGCAAGGAGCTTGGTACTCTCAGCCCTGCTCCAACCCCGAGAGTAATGTTATAATGCAGAATCCCAGGAAACCGCTCACAGGGTGCCTGTCATTCCCCCTGCACTCTGAGCCTGAGAGCAGGGACCGTGGCTCACAGTATCCCCAGCACCCAGCACCCAGCACCCGACCTGGAGTACACGGGAAAAGCGAGCTTGCCTTGGCCAGCTAACCTTCAGGTTCAGCCTGGAACACTCCCCTTCCTCCTGCCCTTTACCTGCCTTAATCTTACTTATCCTTCAGGACTCAGCTAAACTCCACCTCCTCCAGGAAGTCACCGCTGGCAATGCTGGACTGGTGCGGCTGCTCTCGCCCCATGGGCCTGTGGACCACATCCGCCCTTCTCAGCACTTACCACACTTCACTGTTGTGGCTTGTCTGCCAAGCCTACTTGATTTTACACTTCCATGAGCTCTTGGACTAGGAATGTCATATTCACCTTATACGCTCCGCATCTAACATCACACCTGGCCAGGAAGGCACCTGATAACTTTTTGCTGAATAAACAAAAGGATACCTTTCAAAGACCTAATCAAGAGTAGCAGAAAATGGTCATTTTCTTGGACCATGTTTAGACTTTTTCTGGAAGACTCTTTATAGCTTACACATTGTGGAGCACAAGTGGAGACCATGAATGAAAACACTCAATGATGGTTTTTACATCTGCAGATTCCTAAATATTCTGAACATCCTGCCATGACGAACAGGCACTGTGGTCTCCAGTTAACTGAGATAAGAGAATAAAAATCGCCCCCTTGTTTTAACCAAAAAGGGAGAACAATGGCAAAGTCCCTGAGGCAGGAACCCCTGGCAAGCTCACCTGACACGCAGTGCTCTGAGCCGGCCCCTTCGGGTCCGGGCCTGTGAGGGACGGTACTTCACTGTGTGACTGGCCCTAGATATCTCACTCCGGCTCCCAGAGAATGCAGAAGACTTCTTTGTGGACAGTATCTTTGGAGAATAAGGTTTCTTTACTGCACTCTCCCTAAAAGAACTCAAATTTGAGGAGTAAAGGGAAAAAGGAGAGAATCAAATTATCTCTGCATGTGATGCAAATATCTTTTAACATACAAGTGAAATTAAATAGATAAGCTCATCAAGACACAAAGGTAATAACTCTACTTCAAGGACAATAAGCTGTTCAATCTCTGACAAAAACACCCACCCCCAGGCTTCCCTGGTGGCTCCATGGTAAAGAATCTGCCTGCCGATGCAGGAGACATGGGTTCGATCCCTGGTCCGGGAAGATCTCACATGCCGCAGAGCAACTAAGTCTGTTGTGCTCTAAAGCCCAGGAGCCACAACTACTGAAGCCCGAGCACCCTAGAGCCCGTGCTTCACGACGAGAGAGGCCACTGCAATGAGAAGGCTGCGCATCGCAATTACAGAATAGCCCTCGCTCACAGCAACTAGAGAAAAGCCCGTGTGCATCAACAAAGACCCAGTGTAGCCAAAAAATAATAAAAATTATTGAAGGAAAAAAGAAATGCCCACCCTGTCTGAAGGTGGGTACTACTAGATCTGCTCTGGGCAGAAGCTACAGAGCTGCAGGGTGCCTTGGAGACCTCAGTCCTAACACATACTTCTTAAATGTGTCATTTAAGGGGAATCATTTTCAAGTTAGAAACAGGTTTCTTCATGTAGAAACAACTAGGAAAGATTTCCAGGTTATGTGACTTTTAAATCAATGTGAAACTACACACCTGATGAAACACTAAATTTATGACTTTTAATCCCATTTTAGAAACATTAAGAGATCTTCTTATTGGTGTGAAACCATGATTTTAAAAAATACATGTCAAAGATCTGCCTGCAGGAAATACCTAGTGGTGATAACATCCCATCAGCAATGAGCAAACGTAGAGCTCAAATATTGTTTCTAAAATGCCACTGCCTACTAAGAGGAAGTGGCAGTGCTTGGAAATATGGCTGACTTTAAGGTCTGAGACAAGGAAAATATAAGAGAAGTCTGGACTATCTTACTGGGTCAGAAAGTAAAGAAATGTTCAAAGAATGACAGGAGAATGTCGAAAGGACACAGGAACCAGCTGGAAAGGGCTCCCACTGGCCTAATCTGGGACAATTTCAGCAGTAATAGACTAAAACCCACTGAATAAAACAGGAAGCCACAAATCCATACTGAAGTAAGTAAATGAGTAAATAAATATATGAAGAAAAATGAGAAGCTCTCCTTTGCAGTAGAATAAAACTAATAAACTTTTAAGAACCATCACAGGAATAATTGACTCAGGCAAGAATCATCAATGGATGTAAAAACAAGTGGGTGCTAGTCTGATGAGAAACAGGCTATTAATGTAGTTTCAACAGATCTCCCCACAAAACACTTATTCACTTCTTCATAGTGGAGAAACCTGACAGACATCATCTTTACCAAGTGATAAAAGTTAACATCAATGGTAATAGGATCAAATCTCCTGATACTGATGTACTGAGAATATAGCATCACTTCTGCGAAATTCTTGCCAAAAATGCACAACTGGAATTCATCATGAAGAAACACTGAACAAATTCAAGTATATGCACAAAAGGTAAGCTAAACTCTTCAAAAATGTTTAGGTCATGAAAGATAAGGAAATATTGAGAAATATTTCCAAATTAAAGGGGACTAAAAAGACAAAATGAAGGACTTCCCTGGTGGTCCAGTGGCTAAGACTCTGTGCTCCTAGTGCAGGGGGCCCAGGTTCGATCCCTGATCAGGGAATTGGATTCCACATGCTGCAACTAAGACCCAGCAGAGCCAAATGAATGAATAAATATTAAAAAGACAAACTGAAAAGAGAAGTTTTTCTTACATTTTGTTGTTTTCTTTCTGCTATAAGTATCATTTTTGGGACAACTGACTTCAATTTACTCACAAATGGTCCAGGGGAGGGAGGAAATATATAGTTTGATTTTTTTTTTTGTTTTGATTCTTACTATTTGTGGTAAGTTCTATAAAGTCACCATAAGCACTGAGTTAGTGAATATACTGAACCACTGTCCCTACAGGAGAAACATAGTTAGGTTCCTGCCAGTCTTTATTTTTATTTTTTTATTTATTTATTTTTTAATTTTTTTCATTTATTTTTATTAGTTGGAGGCTAATTACTTTACATCATTGTAGTGGTTTTTGTCATACATTGAAATGAATTAGCCATGGATTTACATGTATTCCCCATCCCGGTCCCCCCTCCCACCTCCCTCTCCACCCAATCCCTCTGGGTCTTCCCAGTGCACCAGGCCCGAGCACTTGTCTCATGCACCCAACCTGGGCTGGTGAACTGTTTCACCCTAGATAATATACGTGTTTCAATGCTGTTCTCTTCAAACATCCCACCTTCGCCTTCTCCCAGAGTCCACAAGTCTGTTCTATACATCGGAGTCTCTTTTTCTGTTTTGCACATAGGGTTATCGTTACCATCTTTCTAAATTCCATATATATGTGTTAGTATACTGTAATGGTCTTTATCTTTCTGGCTTACTTCACTCTGTATAATGGGCTCCAGTTTCATCCATCTCATTAGAACTGATTCAAATGAATTCTTTTTAATGGCTGAGTAATATTCCATGGTGTATATGTACCACAGCTTCCTCATCCATTCGTCTGCTGATGGGCATCTAGGTTGCTTCCATGTCCTGGCTATTATAAACAGTGCTGCGATGAACATTGGGGTACACGTGTCTCTTTCAGATCTGGTTTCCTCGGTGTGTATGCCCAGAAGTGGGATTGCTGGGTCATATGGCAGTTCTATTTCCAGCTTTTTAAGAAATCTCCACACTGTTTTCCATAGTGGCTGTACTAATTTGCATTCCCACCAACAGTGTAAGAGGGTTCCCTTTTCTCCACACCCTCTCCAGCATTTATTGCTTGTAGACTTTTGGATAGCAGCCATCCTGACTGGTGTGTAATGGTACCTCATTGTGGTTTTGATTTGCATTTCTCTGATAATGAGTGATGTTGAGCATCTTTTCATGTGTTTGTTAGCCATCTGTATGTCTTCCTTGGAGAAATGTCTGTTCAGTTCTTTGGCCCATTTTTTGATTGGGTCATTTATTTTTCTGGAGTTGAGCTGGAGGAGTTGCTTGTATATTTTTGAGATTAATCCTTTGTCTGTTGCTTCGTTTGCTATTATTTTCTCCCAATCTGAGGGCTGTCTTTTCACCTTGCTTATAGTTTCCTTTGTTGTGCAAAAGCTTTTAAGTTTCATTAGGTCCCATTTGTTTATTTTTGCTTTTATTTCTAAAATTCTGGGATGTGGGTCATAGAGGATCCTGCTGTGATTTATGTCGGAGAGTGTTTTGCCTATGTTCTCCTCTAGGAGTTTTACAGTTTCTGGTCTTACATTTAGATCTTTAATCCATCTTGAGTTTATTTTTGTGTATGGAGTTAGAAAGTGTTCTAGTTTCATTCTTTTACAGGTGGTTGACCAGTTTTCCCAGCACCACTTGTTAAAGAGGTTGTCTTTTTTCCATTGTATATCCTTGCCTCCTTTGTCAAAGATAAGGTGACCATAGGTTCGTGGATTTATCTCTGGGCTTTCTATTCTGTTCCATTGATCTATATTTCTGTCTTTGTGCCAGTACCATACTGTCTTGATGACTGTGGCTTTGTAGTAGAGTCTGAAGTCAGGCAGATTGATTCCTCCAGTTCCATTCTTCTTTCTCAGGATTACTTTGGCTATTCGAGGTTTTTTGTATTTCCATACAAATTGTGAAATTATTCGTTCTAGTTCTGTGAAAAATACTGTTGGTAGTTTGATAGGGATTGCATTGAATCTGTAGATTGCTTTGGGTAGTATAGCCATTTTGACAATATTGATTCTTCCAATCCATGAACACGGTATATTTCTCCATATGTTTGTGTCCTCTTTGATTTCTTTCATCAGTGTTTTATAGTTTTCTATGTATAGGTCTTTTGTTTCTTTAGGTAGATATACTCCTAAGTATTTTATTCTTTTTGTTGCAATGGTGAATGGTATTGTTTCCTTAATTTCTCTTTCTGTTTTCCCATTGTCAGTGTATAGGAATGCAAGAGATTTCTGTGTGTTAATTTTATATCCTGCAACTTTACTGTATTCGTTGATTATCTCTAGTAATTTTCTGGTAGAGTCTTTAGGATTTTCTATGTAGAGGATCATGTCATCTGCAAACAGCGAGAGTTTCACTTCTTCTTTTCCTATCTGGATTCCTTTTACTTCTTTTTCTGCTCTGATTGCTGTGGCCAAAACTTCCAAAACTATGTTGAATAGTAGTGGTGAGAGTGGGCACCCTTGTCTTGTTCCTGATTTCAGGGGAAATGCTTTCAGTTTTTCACCATTGAGGGTGATGCTTGCTGTGGGTTTGTCATATATAGCTTTTATTATGTTGAGGTATGTTCCTTCTATTCCTGCTTTCTGGAGAGTTTTAATCATAAATGGATGTTGAATTTTATCAAAGGCTTTTTCTGCATCTATTGAGATAATCATATGGTTTTTATCTTTCAATTTGTTAATGTGGTGTATTACATTGATTGATTTGCGGATATTAAAGAATCCTTGCATTCCTGGGATAAAGCCCACTTGGTCATGATGTATGATTTTTTTAATATGTTGTTGGATTCTGTTTGCTAGAATTTTGTTAAGGATTTTTGCATCTATGTTCATCAGTGATATTGGCCTGTAGTTTTCTTTTTTTGTGGCATCTTTGTCTGGTTTTGGAATTAGGGTGATGGTGGCCTCATAGAATGAGTTTGGAAGTTTACCTTCTTCTGCAATTTTCTGGAAGAGTGTGAGTAAGATAGGTGTTAGCTCTTCTCTAAATTTTTGGTAGAATTCAGCTGTGAAGCCACCTGGTCCTGGGCTTTTGTTTGCTGGAAGATTTCTGATTACAGTTTCGATTTCCTTGCTTGTGATGGTTTTGTTAAGATCTTCTATTTCTTCCTGGTTCAGTTTTGGAAAGTTATACTTCTCTAAGAACTTGTCCATTTCTTCCAAGTTGTCCATTTTATTGGCATAG